TTTATTGATTTCAGAGAGGAAAGTAGTGGGAGAGAGATACAGTAACATCATTGATGAGAGAGAATCATTGATCTGCTGCCTCCTGCACGCCCCACACAGGGGATGGAACCCACAACCCAAACATGTACCCTGAACTGGAATGGAACTGTGATCTCCTGTTCTTCAGTCGATGCTAAACCACTGGCTGTGCTGGTTGGGTAAAATGGTTAATATTTGACTTCAGGTGCATTTTGTAGTTTTATTCATAAAATTGTCCACACTCAGAGCTCAATAATTGCTCAGGTTTTACATATATGAATGCCTGCATATTAGAGACCAAATGCGTGGATCCTGGGTCCTCACTGTTGCAAAAATATAAGCTCTCATACGCAGATGAGTTAGCTTCCCTGGTAAAATATCCACAATGAGCAGATAGATTAGAGTAACTAATTATGGCCCTGGCCGCTGTGGCTCATTGCTTAGAGCATCAGCCGATGCCCCACAGGGCCATGGGATTGATTCCCAGTCAAAGGTCACAGGTGTGATCCCTGACCCCTGTCAGGCCTTGTGCAGGAGGCACCGATCCATGTGTCTCTCTCACATCAATGTTTTTCTCTTCCTCTCCCTCTCTCCCCATCCCCTTGTCCCTTTTACTCTCTTTGAATATCAATGGAAAAAAATATCCTCCGGTGAGGATTTTAAATAAATAAAGACTCACCATTTTCCAAACTGTGAGCCCATATTTCTGCTCAATCCTGACTTCTCCAGGCAAAGCCAAACTGTGATCCAAAGTGACTCAGAAGTAAAGTCTAAACTCAAAATTCCCAGGGAGCCTGAAAGAATCCATGAAAGCAGGCAGGACCCTTCTCCAGCAGAGAAAGGGTTCATGGAGGGACTGGTAGCAGTTAGGTCATGAGAAAGGGGAGAGCTATGGGGACACTGGGCTTGAGTGGCATCAACTCCTCACACAGCCCCACTCCTGTCTGGTTCTCAGGAGCAGCCGACACCATCAGCCCCTCAATGAACAACTCTGACCCCAAGAGTGGTGAGTAGGAGACACTGTCTGTTATGGGCTCAGCACAGATGGTGGTGTCCTGTCAAGGGGAGGGGATGCCTGGGTGGAAATCCAGGGTCTGGTTGACATTGTCCTGCCCTGACCTCTGTGACCTGTTTTCCCACAATTTCCAGCCTCCCACCCACAAGACTACACCATGGAGAATTCCATCCGGATGGGCGTGGCAGGATTGGTCCTGTTGGTGCTCGGGGTGCTGCTCCTTTGGTCTCGAAACAGCCAGATAAAGACCCAGGAAGCAGCCAGGACATGAACATGGAGGGAACAATGCACGGTTCAGAGAGGAGGATCTTGGGAAGGTTCTGGAAGATAATGTGGAACATATGCTGAGAGACCTGTCTGGGACTCCTTGCAGTTGGAGGAGTCATCGCTCATGTGCCGGGACTAGTTCTGGACCTTCTGCCCTTGAACTGTGGTCCTTTCCCTCCCGACCACTGTGAGTCCTGTGACTGGTTCCTGACTTTCCCCATTTTGGTGAAATTAGCATTTATCCCACATGGCAGGTACAGGCCCACACCTCCCTATACTTTCATGGAATATGTTTTCCTTTATTTCTAACCACATGAACCTTCATGTCAGTATAGAGTCCCCATCTCCTGAGTCCAGAGTGTGCAATCTATTGTAGCCATCTACAAGGTGCACAATCCATCCTGCAAGAGGTAAACCCACAGGAGGTCCTAACGCCCTCTCTGGACTCCACACGCCCCTCACCTGGCCTCGGAGGCCACCGCTGTGCTTTCCACATAAACTTCACCCCTTGGGATCCAGACATGGTTGTTTGAAGGGGTCGCCTGGTCTGCGCTGCCTCTGAAAACCCCAATGTCCAAATCACAGTGCAAGACATAGAAGACATGTTACAGATGTGCATCCTTGAAACCTATGTCCTGTTATTCACCGATGGCACCTTATTAAATTTAATATAAAAAATTACTGCCTGCTGCCATTTGCCACTTTCTCTGGTATATATGTCCCCTTCACGGCCATCATCAAGAGCCCAAGTATGGTCCTCAGGCAGACGGAAGCGATAATACACAAACTGACTTTCACAAAACAGTACAAGCCCATGTGGGACACCATTAACACCACACTGATAGCCCCACAGTGCTCCTAAGTCCCTTCTAGTTGATGTGTCACAATGGTTTCTACTTCAAGGTTGGGGCACAGTTTTCATGAAAACACAAGACCATGCTCCCAACCCATCCAGATGAGATGCACAAAGGAATGTTTTACTATCAGTGTGGGAGAGAATTGTGAGTCCATAGAATCCTACCGCATTACTAGTAGGAGTGCCAATTATATTCATCAATTCAGAGACTACAGTTGACACACAATTCAATATTTATATTTTTCAACTACAGTTGACACACACCATGGTGATTAGACATTATATAACTTTTTACGTGATCATACTGATAAATCTTATACCCATCCAACACCATACATAGATA